AGCCTCCCAAAGTTCACTAGCCATTTTAAGTCCATTAATATTTTATAATCTCAATCACTTTTAATCAACTAACAGCAAAATGAGGGCTTTATCCTTCGCCTGTGTGGTTTTACAAATTTAGCCATTTTTGAAAAAACATCAAGATACACAAATTTGGGGATCATGGATTCTAACAGGGCTAGCCTTCACAAGAGACAGAACTGATGGTCACTGCTCAATGGTCCTGAGACCTGGTCATCAGGACCAGATCTCGATGCATGAACCGGGTGTTGTGGCATAGACCTGTAATCTCAGCTACTTGGGAGGCTGAGGAAGGAGGATCTCTTGAGGCCAGGAGTTTGAGGCTGTAGTGAGCTGTAATCACAGCTGTATATAACCACTGCACTCCTGCCTGGGCAACACAGTGAGAAACCCATCTGTAAAAAAATTTTAAATAAAAAATTTAAAAAAGAAAAGCATACATGACTTCAAGTTGCTCTCTTATACCTCAAGAATTTCACTGTCAAAAAGGCAGTAAATTTGTGTTTAACTTAGTTGGACAAGAAAATGTTTGCTGCACATTTCACAATTTGGCTCAGAGAAAACTGAATTTCATCGAATGCCATCTGTCATCTCCTGAAAAACAGATGAAGATGCAGGTTGAGGTTCTAAAGTCAGTCTGAGAATGGGTGAGCAGTACTCTACATAGAATAGTTGAACAAGCCAGGCACGGTGGCTCATACCTGTAATCCCAGCACTTTGGGAGGCCAAGGTGGGTGGATCATCTGAGGTCAGGAGTTCCAAACCAGCCTGGCCAACATGGCAAAACCCCGCCTCTACTGAAAATACAAAAATTACCCAGGCGTGGTGGCAGGTACCTGTAATCCCAGCTACTCAGGAGGCTGAGGCAGGAGAATCACTTGAATCTGGGAGGCAGAGGTTGCAGTGAGCCAAGACCACACCATTGCTCCACGGGGGGGGGGAGAAACCAAGCCTCCTCCCCAACAAAAAAAAAAAAAAAAAAAAAAAATTGTTGAACAAATTACCTCCTTGTCTTTGAGACTGTAGTCATACATTCTAATAATTAGTCTTATGTTGCATTACTATGTGCCCAGCATTGCCCTTTGGGCTTCATATCGATTAAGAAGTCAATTCTCAGACTATCTGAGATGCGTGCCTTGAGTATCCACCTTAAGCAAAGTTACCTTACCTCTCTGCACTTCAGCTTTTTCAAGTGAAGAGCAGAGGGTTAAATCACTAAGATGGCGGAAAGCTTGTGGAAGTTGAGCCTACATAGTCTGTTTCCAGAGTCTGTGCTAACCTCTACTCTTAGTAGTGCTCTAAGTTGGGTAGTCATAAATACAAATAAGCATTACTAATAACTGCATTTCTTAAGGTTGGAATGGACTTTAGAAATATCTAATCCATAGATGCCCTCTATTTATTATCCTAACTTGTGGTTAAACATTCTCTGCTTATTCTGTTATAATGACAGGGAAGTTCCCCTCCAGGAAGTAGTTAATTATATACCCAGAAATTTCTGATTGTTAGAAAACTTCATTTAAGACAAAAGTTTTCTATCTCTGTATAGCCTCGCACAAGAGAAACTCCTCCCACAAGTCCACCTGGAAGGGCCTACTTTTGGGGATAGTTGTCACATGTCTCTGTGGTCACCCACTTTATGGGATAAACATCCCCAGTTTCCTGATAGTTCTTTTTACATTGTATTAAGACCTTTTGCCATTGTTCAGTCTTCCTCTTAAAAATGAGAATTCTTGAACAGGGTGTGAATTTGGCCAGGAGGACAATGATCTCTGTTCAGCTGAGTGCTGTTTTTCTATTTATGCAGCTTAATGCACAGATTTTAATCAATATTATATTTCTTGGTCACCCTAAAATTTAAGTCTACTAATATCTTCAGGGCTATTTCATGTGAATTGTGATGAAAATTGATCTCTATTCTGTGTGTAGTCAGGTTTTTCATTTTAGTCCCAAATTCAGGATGTTACCTGTACCCTTGTTAAAGTCTATTTTCATAGTTTCGGCTGGCATTAGGCTCTGTTGAAGGTTTTTTGAACCTTAGAATTTCACAGAATTTCATGACACTGCAGCATTGAGAGTTTAACATATACCTATGGGCCTTTTGAAACCAAAATGAATTGTGGAGGTGTGCAGCACAGGTGAAGAAGTGCCTCCAGAGACTGAGTCAACCCATAGGGGTATTTTCTTATGTACTGATGCATTGCTAGGATTCTTGGGAAGAGTCAAAATTGAAACCAGGAATAATGTGAGAGTGAGCGTTCATCATTTCCAAGAGCCTTAATAGGAGCTGGAAAATGGTGACTTGGAGAATGGAGGCACTGCAGAGCCTAGTTTGTTTTTCCTTCCAAACATCCTGGTAAGTGCAATGTTGAATAATTTGGCTGTTAAAAGAAGCTATCCCAGAACAGACAATTACAGTTTGCCATTTACCATATTTCTTAATTCTTCCTTATTTTGGACTCACAAATCTTAGAGAGGCTTGTTTCTGTGTCTTCTATATTCTAGATCTGAGCATTAAGAACTACAAGGACACCCTCCTAGGCAATATTTCATCTTCAAGGTTGCCTAACAGAAGGAAATAATCTCTGTATTTATATTGCTAGATAGTTACAATAATGTAATGGTACTTCCTGGGACAGTTTCTTTTTCTTTTTGAGAAAAATGCATTGCTTGAAGTAGAACAAAAAGGATCTGTTCAATGTTTCCAGGATTCCTCACTAATTATAACACGATACATACACATAGACAATCAAGAACTGGTCCTGAGACTCCAGAAACAATGCTCTCCCAAGCCTGTTTTTGCTCCATGCTGACACCTTCTAAATCAGTCTTGGGACCACCCACAGAGCTCACTGATACTCATAGCCAAAGGGTAATGAGGTTGGGAAAGAAAAAGTTGTCTCTTACTCCTCTTAAATGTGCCATGACTTTAATCTTTTACATATATTAAAATTCATCATACAACAAAGTTAAATCGGTAATCCTGCTCTCTCAACAGCAACTTAATAATTTTCTACTGCTGAGAGTACATGTTAAAGAATCAATTCTTATTTACGTTTAACTTTTCCAATAACAGATTAGCCTTATGGTGCCGAAAACTTAAGGAGAATAATGTAGTAATGGAAGGAGCAGAATCATAGAATCACAAAATGTCAGAGTTGAAAGAGACCTTAGAGATTTTCTGGTACAATGTTCTCCCCAGCAAGGAAAAAAACCAGGCCAGGTATGGTGGCTCATGCCTGTAATCCCAACACTTTGGGAGGCTGAGGTGAAAGGATTGTTTGAGTCTAGGAGTTTGAGACCAGCCTGGGCAACATAGTGAGACCCCCATCTCTATAAAAAATAGAAAAAATTAACCAAGTGGGGTGGTGCACACCTGTGGTCCTAGCTACTTGGGATGCTGAGATGGGAGAACTCTTTAAGCTCAGGAAGTCGAGGCTGCAGTGAGCCGCGATTGCACCACTGCAGTCCAGTCTGGATGACAGACGAGACACTGTCTCAAAACAAAACAAAACAAACACGGAAAAAACAAAAAGCCAAGAAAGGTGTAATGATTTGCATAAAGTCACAAAGAATGTCTGTGTTAATCTTCCAAAAAGTCAATAGAAGTAAAATGTCAATGTTTCTAGACCAGAGTTTCTCAACATGGGCAATACTGACATTTTAGACCTGATAATTCTTTTTTAAGGGGCTGGGGAGCAGGTCCTGTGCATGGTAGAATGCTTAGCAGCATCCTTGGCCTCTGTTCACTAGATGCCGGTAGCCTCCCTGCAAAGCCACAACAATCAAAAATGTCTCCAGATGTTGTCAAATGTCCCTCAGAGAGGGGAGCAAAATTGCTACCTGCTGGGAGACACTGGACTTGACATCGTCTAAAAAGCAAAGTTCTGGGCCTTATTCCAAGATAACTTAAGAGGCTAAGGATGGTATTAATATAAATCATATGAGGTTCACAGAAGTCTTTGCTACTAGCAATTGTTCACATTAGCTTTTATGCAACTGTAGCCCGCAACATGATGGGCATGAAATAGCTAAACAGTAACACCCTTGCACTGTATCTTACTAGGACATAACCAGTATTTTGGTGCTTTCCAGAAAGGAAAAGCCATCTCAGCTTGGATCCCACAAGAAAGCAAATTTTCTCGCCAAAAGGGATTAAAAACTCCACCCCTATACACCTGCACTTCCCAGGCCATGAACTATGATGGTTGCAGCATTAAAAAAAAATGCTGCTGACACACTATCAAAGGATATTCTCAGATGAGAAAGCTAGATATGGAGTCCTGAGCATTATTTATTGATGTAAAAAATTAGCATTTCACAGAGCATTTTGAGAGAAACTAAAGACTTCTGTGGACATCAGTTAACAGGAGGAAGTCAGAAGGGGCCCAAAGCCTTCATTTTGCATAAGGGTATAAGCAGAGGTTGAGATTAGAGGCTTGAAGTACTGTGGGCTATCCAAAGAAAAGGCGCACATACCAGATGGAGTGGAACTAAGCTCCACCCTCACCATCACGCATTGCTTAGTGAGGAGGTGCACCAACGGCTGGCAGGACCCCTGCAGCCAACCTTCTTGGTGCCCTCTGCCTGCCTCTGATGTTGAGCTGCAGCAGTGGACAACTCACTCTCAAGTGGACAGACCTTGTAAAGACAAGATCTTTACAGAGGATCTTGTCTGTAGGAGGTGGCTTCCTTTATCTTCATGCAAGCATAAGCCCCAGAGAGTGGGGGCATTAATGACCTTGGAATTAACCCTCAAACAATAGATGATGCAGCTCATGAATGAATGTTCCAGTCCCCTGTTTTCAAGTGGACAATTTTGGAAGACTTTCTGCAGATTTTCCAGTGCAATCAAGTATCTTTCTGCTCATGGTAGTGATCTCTATAACATGCCATAGGTAAAGCATCTTCCTTTTCCCCTGTCTCATTCTCTTGCTCCTTACTATCAATCATCTCCCACATAAACCACCTGACCAGAGTTCTTGTCTCAGGCTCTACTTTTAGAGGAATCCAACCTATAGAACCCCACTGTATGCCATTCACAGTCATTGTAAACATCTGAATCCAAATGAACTATATGGTAAAATGTATCTGGTTCACATCCCAGAGTCTGAATTCATTCATTCTCATTAGTTGTTTTGTTATCCCCACATAGGACTGAGTTAAAGAACCCTTCTGATATTATCATGAATTAGTACTCTGGGTGAGTGCCTCCTGTATTGCAGTCAAATTGTGGCCAGCAACATTTATTTCTGTCTGGGTGTGCTATACATTAAACAATATGTCTTTATATTAAATAGGCTTCCAAACTATAAACTAACTATATTCCTAAATCCTTTAGCCAAGAGAGCTTAAAATTTTTAGTACTTTATATCAAGGCAGATGACTGGAAATTGCTTCCCAGATTATTAACTTAGTCATTCTAGAAAAACTATGCTCTAACAAGGAATGCGATGCCATGCTATCCCTTGAGAATTAAAAGTGTATGTGAAAATCAGGCTGACTTTGAGGCACTGCCTAACAAATTAAAATATTTCCCCTAACAGTTATATTTACATCACTCAAATATTATACAAAAAACTAAGCACCATTCAAGACAAAAATATTTTTGTCTTTCCAAAGTCTCATGATGAACAATTTTGTGGAGGACTCTGTGTGTGTGTGTGTGTGTGTGTGTGTGTGCGCACGCGCGTATGTGTGTGTATGACCAGAAGAAAATGGATAGATGTCAAACTGAATGCTTTTGGGACTCCTATAGTAGACTGCATGATCAGAGAAGTTACAGAAATACCTTCCATGGAGTCCTTAGATTTAAATCTCCAAGTGCTCAAGCCTATGTCTTCATCCTCTGCCTATAGCCCACAGTATTTAGCCTAACACTTTACATTTAGTGAGAGCTAGTAAGACTAATGTCTAATATTATCAGGGTCCTTTTATGTGCCAGCCATTGTTCTAAAAGCTTTACCTCTGGTAACTCTCCTGATAAGAGGTCCTTAATAAATATTTTAGGATATCATATGTAAGCACATAACTGTTTACCAAAAATGTTGAGGTAAATCTGAAGCAAGTTAGAAAAATCAATTCAGTGGATTTTTCAAAGCCTGTTCGACTCTATGACTTTGACAAGCAGCAAATGATAGATCACTTTCTTATTTCTTTTTATCAGTACACTTTAAAATTTCTGATATGTTTTGATTCTCATTTCTACTCTCTCTGCCCTTTCTCTGGAAGGTTTCAACTTTCTTGGACAGGTAAAGTCATCTAAACTTTAAGCTGTTTCAATTGCTTTAAACCCAGATAATAATAGCTTCCCCACTTTTCTGTTAGACGTTTATTCTAGTCAGCAATGTCAATGGCCAGAGAGGAGAATACAAACAGGCAATTACATTCTTTTTTATCTATCCACACTAGTTTTAACTAGTCATTGGGAACAATAACAGGTAAGCACTTTCCCCAAGTTCTCTGGAGAGTGTATTGGTAATTTAACTGTCTTGTATACAACACACCATTCCTTCTCTACTTTCATTCTTTATCTCCTTCCCAATCTTCTTAAATCTTTCTCCAAAGCAGACTATGTATGGCTCCACCTCTAAATGTTATTAACTTTATTTGCATGCACTTTTTCCCATTATAATGTCATCACTGTGGGGAGTCAGTCCTGCTGGCAGGGTGCCCAGAAATGATGCAAGACCTGTTAAGCTTTAGTGGAAACCTCTTCTCTTTTGGCCGAATTCCAATTGGGCACTTGGGTACTTCAGGGATCGCAGAATGTAAACTTTGTAAAGTTTCTCTCTAATCATCTGTTTTTCCACATCATATTGGTGACCTATGAACATTCCTTTGAATTCATTAATTTGACATTCTTTTTCTACAAACTAACCTTAATCCATTTTCCCTCCTTAAATACATTATACTAGATTCTCTCTCTGAATTTCTTCTCTGATAAAAACTGCCCTCTCAGTGATAATCCTAGGATCTCTCTCTTAAAAGAAGTTTATCATGCTCATACTAAAACCAAAAATATAATCAATAACTTACCCTGTTAATACAAAATGTCTACTAACTCTTCTCTAAAAAGTAAAATTGTGTGTGCTTTTCATAGGACATTTAGAAGTGCTGGCTTTTTATTGTGATAGGAGCAGATTAGGAGGATGGTGACCAGCTGTTTCTTATGGCAACTGTGAGACTAGAATAATAAACAAGTTAAACTGAAGCTTGGAATGGTCTAGGTTCAATATGAGGAAAAACTTCCTGTAAATACAAGATATAAAAATTGAAATGGGTGTCTGAGGAAGATAACTCAGCATTTTCTGGATGTCTTTCAAAATGAAATAAAATTGCTCTTGGATAGTTAAAATAATATCCTTTTACTGTGATATACTGACTTAAAATTCCTTTCATTACTGGAGAGCCATTTTTTTTTTTTTGAGAAAATAAAGCATAAGGAAAACTGGATGCAATCTATTGCAAAAATCACAGAAGCGCATTTTAAAATAAAAATAATTACCAAATCATTCCAAACTAACTTAAAACTATGATTTAACTCTAGATCAACGCAATTTAACAATTTTTAGGTTTCTGGTAATAAGATAAAAATAATTGAAATAAATTCCCATTCTCCAGGAGCTCCTTATCTACTTAATTCACAGGCTGGTTGTGAAACATGTTTTCTTCAGAGCTTTGGAAGGGAGCTATGGGAGAAGAGATTCATTCCTATTGCGGTGAGATCTGAGAAAGCTCCACACGGAGAGTGGCTTTTGAGCTGGTGCTTGAAAGATGGACAGGATTTTGATAAGTAGAGTTGGAGTAGAGAGACACATTTCCTTCAAAGGAATCAGAATTAATAAAGATCTGGAATTAATAAATGCTTGAAATAGGTAGAGAATGGAAGTATAGGCAAGAAAAGGTGGCAATAATAACAAAGAAGATTCAAGTAAGAATAAGACACTTTAATTCTTTCATGGAGGCTTCAAAACCCAGAGATACTGACCTTTTAAGGCCAGGATAATGATGCAGCAGTGAAAGTGCAGTGTAGATGGTGGGATTGCCATATTCAGAGCTAATTTATCTTGGAAAATCCATCCGCGATGAAATATAAAAGAGATCCTCATAAATAGTCTTATTGGAAGTAATGTTCCAGCCAGATGACCATGCAACATGTAATATTTCTGTACCCTCTCTACTCCAGTAGTTTATCAAACACCCTAGGCTAGTATTCTCCAAACTTCAGGCATCCCTGGGCTACTTCATAATTTTTGTCATATCTAAGTCCCAGCTGAACTAACATTTACTTAACATTTATCTTTATTTTTATTTTTTTGAGATGGAGTTTCACTCTTGTTCCCCAGGCCAGAGTATAATGGTGCAATCTTGGCTCACTGCAACCTCCACCTCCTGGGTTTAGGTGATTCTCCTGCCTCAGTCTCCCAAATAGCTGGGATTACAACCACCATTCCTGGCTAATTTTTGTATTTTTAGTAGAGATGGGGTTTCACTATCTTGATCAGGCTGGTCTTGAACTCCTGACCTCAGGTGATACACCCACCTTGGCCTCCTAAAGTTCTGGTTTTATAGGCATGAGCCACTGTGCCCAGCCAACATTTATCTTTAAATTAAATACTTCTTACTTTAAAAATACTTTATAAATTACCATACACAGAAAAATAATATAATTTGCCTTTAATAGATTAACCATAAAAGTAAGTAAGTTCAACTAAAGCAAAATGAAATTACTAATTTCTAGCTAAATACTGTTTCTGCCTGGGGCTTTGTGCTTGATGCCTGTTCTTTTTTTGCTAAAAATTTAGGCTAGAGTTATTAGATGTTAAAGACAGTCTAGCATTAGACTGAGAATTTTTTCTAGACCATAAGAAAGAAAGATATTGAAAAGGAATATGATCCAACACTATTTGGTGTGGTTGACAGGGACTATCTTTTTCAAAAAATAATGTCTTCTTTGGAATGCACCTCTCGTGTTGGTTTGCTCCTGTTACTCAGTATTGTAAAGTTATTCTCATTCTAGACATTTGTTTCCTTTACTTTCTTAATTGTTCTTTATGCAAATGTTTACTTAAGCAACAAGACATGAATTAGTCAAGGTGATGTTTTTGGTTGTAAGTAAAAGGAATGAAAACATAACCCTGACCCTACAGATTCAAAGAGTGAAGAACATTTATTTCACATAGTTGTTTCATAAGTAGGGTGGCTCCAAGGATGGTTAATTCTCATAACATCAGAGACTCAGGTTCCTTCCATCTTTATGTGCTGCCAACCTCAGTGTGCTGGCTTTAGTTCTGGTCTATTTCCGTCATGGTTTTATGATGGCTGTCAACAGTTGCAGGTATCCTCTGCATATGTGGCAACGTTCAGCAGAACAACAACAACAAAAAGATTGTTTTTCTCTGTATCACGTTTAGGAGTGAGCAAACTTTCCCTAAAAGGTTTTTCCTCACTTCACTGTTTTCCCTTATATCTCCTTGGCTTGAAATCTGTCACACGTTCACATTAACCAATCTGTCTATAAGAGTGGCAGTCTCACAGCCCACTGCGATCCCAGTTGACAGCCAGCACTAATCACTGGAGTCTTAGGAGTGGGTCTTCCAGCCCCAGCAGAGCCACTCAACTGCCATATGGAGCAGAGACACCATCAGGTCCTACCCCCAACTGCTAAATCATGAACAAATAAATGATCACTGTTCAAGGATGCTAATATTTGGGGTTGTCATACTGCAATAAATAAGCAAAACACAAACATATACTTTTTAAATATGAAAATTATATAGAGTTATAAACTTTAAATTTCATCGAGGCCACTAACAGGCTATTATCAATTATCATCATCATCTCATTAAAGAAGAAAAATGTTAACATTAAAAAGACACACACAAAAAATAAAAAGATAATCTCAGACCAGAGGTTAGTTCCTTAAACTTAAATTTAACTTAAAAAACTCACAGGCTGGGCACGGTAGCTCATACCTATAATCCTAGCACTTTGGGAGGCCAAGGTGGACAGATTACTTGAGTTCAGGAGTTCAAGACCAGCCTGGACAACATGGTGAAACCCCTTCTCTATTAATATACAAAATATTAGCTGGATGTGGTGGCATGCACCTATAGTCCCAGCTACCAGGGCAGCTGAGGCATGAGAATTGCTTAAACACCCCAGCCTGGATGATAGAGTGAGTCTCTGTCTCAAAACAAAACAAAACAGAAAAGCAACTCACAATATTGCTCTTATTTTTCTAATTTTGGTGGCAGTGGAGGGGGGACCTTAAGAAAATATCAGGAGCTTACTGTTCTATCATCTCACAGGACAATAACACAGCAGGCTTTTCTTATTTAAGAGCACTTTAAAACTTAAATGACTTTTCTTGAGGAAATACTTATTTTGCACAAATTAACAGGAAATTATTCCTTTTCTGAATTATAACCAGTATTCTTAGTGCATTATCACAAATAGATAACATATCTCACTACCTAAATCCACACTTTGGATGGTCATGTTAGTGTCATTTACAAATTTGGTTACATATGTAGCCATATGTAACATGGACATACATATGTTCTTAGAGGATCCAAAACTATTGACACAATTGGTGGGTCAATGGTGAAGAATTAGTTACTGGGGATGAGAAAGTTTGTCACTTGCATAGCATGTTCCCAGGGTTGCCTTGATCCAATGTTCCACACCAGTGACTGGCAGCCTGCAGTGAAGTGGAGGGCAAAACGTGTTCTATATTCCTCTCCCAAATAAACTATCCACATTCTCATGTCGTGAGGCCACTAGGAAGAGCATGTTGGGTGACACATTCAGTTTATCCCCGACCAATCCTGGTTGGCAAGATGCAGACACCTGTCCCACAGATCCGAGGCACTACCTAGCAGCTGGGCCTCTTTGACAAGTTCTCAGAGAGGCTGTCTGAACTCAATAGCTCCTTTCTATAGCTACCAATGAAATTACTAGGACCTACACAAGACATATCGAGTAAATCAAGTTATTTTCATAATTAATGTTTTGGGCTAAAATATATTAGAATGATACAGAATATTCAGGGCCTTTTTTTTTTCTTTTTTTTGAGATGGAGTCTTGCTCTGTCGCTAGGCTGGAGTGCAGTGGCACGATCTTGGCTCACTGCAACCTCTATCTCCTGAGTTCAAGCAATTCCCCTAAATATTTCAAAATGCATCCCTGAAAAATCAGGATATTTTACTGTAACCCACAATTTTTTTATTATACCTTATAAAAGTAACAGTTACTCCTTATTAGCATTTAATTTTTAGATAATATTTAATGTTCCTCTACTGTCCTAAAGAAGCCTTTTAGAGTTGGTTTATTTGAACCAGGAAATGCATTTACTTTAAAATACCCCAAGTCTGACTTTAAGTTAAAAGTATTCATGGGTGTATTAGTCCGTTTTCACACTGCTATAAAGAACTACCTGAGACTAATTTATGAAGAAAAGAGGTTTAATTGACTCATACTTCTGCAGGCTGTACAGGAAGCATGGCTGGGAGGCCTTAGGAAACTTAACAATCTTGGCAAAAGCTGAAGGGGAAGCAAGCATGTCTTAACACAGCAGAGCAGGAGAGAGGGAGAGAGCGAAGGGGGAAGTGCCGTACACTTTTAAACCATCAGATCTCATGCGAACTCACTCACTATCACGAGAACTGCAAGGGGAAAACCTGCCCCCATGATCTAATTACCTCCCACCTGGTCCCTCCCCCAACATTACTAATTACAATTCAACATGAGATTTAGGTGGGGACACAGAGCCAAACCATATCAATGAACATCTTTATAAATTTTAATGATGCATGTACAACTTTCAATCATACATAAAATGTGGCCAAAGAAAGAAATATTTGGGATGAAATATCATGGTTTCCATAATGTTTAAAAATACTTTAAATTTATAAAACAAATATGCCACAATAATAATTTTTTAAGACAGGGTCTCACTCTGTTGCCCAGACTCCAGTACAGTGGGGTGAACATGGTTCGCTGCAGGCCACGACCTTCCAGGCTCAAGCAATCCTCTCACTTCAGCCTTACAAGTAGCTGGGACTACAGGTATAGCCACCACACCTAGCTAATTTTTAAACGTTTTGTAGAAACAGGGCCTTGCCATGGTGCTCAGACTGGTCTTGAACTCCTGGGCTCAAGCAATCCTCCCACCTTGGCCTCCCAAAGTACTGGGATTATAGGCATGAGTCACTATGCTCCACCAACAATTATTTTTTAAAGGTGGTATGTATGTATTTATTATGCTAGTCTCTTTTCTTTTCTATATGTTTAAATAAAAGTGAAAACAAAAGAAGGATACACATATTGAAGGCTTGTGTTTGCCTTTCAGGGAACAGGATAGAGGGAAGTTAACATGTCTTGAATTTTATTTTTAGAAAATTGATGCTAATCCTGAAAGAAACATCTACTTTTGTT